AAAGCCAACCCTGAAACTGCACTTTTAAATGAGATTATCAACAATCAGAGTTAACTGGGAGATCTGCTGTTGACCAGCGGATGATCGCTGCGGGCATGCCTAGTTGTGCCATTGCTGTGCAGTTTTGCCCTCATGGTGTCGCTCTGCATAGCTTTGTCGCTTTGTCTTTGGTTTGCCCCCTCCCACCCGCCTCTTGGTTCATGGTGGGCCCTTGTGTCCAGGTATAAAGTATACTTATTCTCCACTGAGAATTCAGTGTGACAGGTGCCAGGGGGAGGTGACCCATGCGAGGTTCCCATGGTGACCCCTTTATTTGCATTTAGCCCACACTCGCTTGCTCATTGCCTGCTTTGCTGTCAATTGGCACCTACCCTCTATTTTGAATATTGCATATCGAAAAGTTAATACTCTGTACCTGTTTAAAAGTCTTGAAGAGCTCAGATCTTGAGGCATCTCCTTCCATGTTGTCAGCCACAACAGTTTTGGCAAGGGATTTGGAGCTGCCCGGTTTACCAACCACAAACAGTGGGATCCTGAGCTCAATACACACCACCATCATAAACACGTTCTCACTCAAGGCCGTGTTGCGAGCAATGTTATGACCTAATAATTCCAACTGATTCAGTACTGCTTTCTGACACCTTGCAAGAAAATGACAAATATAAAGAGCTTCATAACTTACAAGATTAAAACAAAAATATTCATGTTGTACCAATTAGGAGTAAACTGCCAAGTAAAGTCGAGACTTCCTAATACTTACCAATCAATATACTTACTATATCAACTTAAATAGAGCGGAAATATATATCTATGTTCATCTATCAAAACACGGTACATCTATAAGAGTCACCTTCCTAGCATCTTTTCCATTGAAAAGTGCCATTGGTCAACCCTGTAACGATTTGTGTTGTGTAAATGTTTCCAGTACAGTGGTGGTGCCACATATTTTCTCAAAATTACCGTGTAATTTCCTGCGAAATACGTTGATGTCCACCAGGCAGCTGGCATGGTTGGGAAAAGCTTCGAGCCACAGCACGACGATACGGTTCCCTGTCTTGAAGGCGTGCCTGGTAACATACCCCAAGGGAAAGTACAAGGGCTCGGGTGACATCATCGAGAGTCTACATAAAAAGATAAAA